CTGGCATGGCAGCTTGGAGCTCCTAGTGGCAGCAACAAGCTTCCTTGCCTGGCCCTGCTCTGCCCAGCTGTGCTGGGTCTCACCCACTGGGCTGTGGAGGCCCCGGAGGGAGAGCAGCAGGTTGGGGAGCCCCGATCCACCACCCTGCATCCACCCCCTTTCCCAAAACAGGTTCTACTCTGGCTATGCCATCTGTCGGGGAGAGGGAGCTGAGCTCTGTGCTGCACCCTGCTACAGCAGCTGCTGCCTCCCACGGGTGGGAGCTTGGGCATTGCTCTGGGGGGTAGGGGTCTGTGGACCTGGGTCCTTGGCCTCATAGCCCTGGCAGCTGGGGGCCCCCTCCAGCAGGGCTGTGCAGTGGCATGGGGCTGTGGGTGGGGGGAGTGAAGGGCACTGGTGGGTCAGGGGGCTGTGGGTGGGGAGTGAGGGGCACCTGCAGGGCTGGGCAGGGGCATGGGGCTGTGGGTGGGGGGAGTGAAGAGCACTGGTGGGGAAAAGAGGCTGTGGATGGGGCATGGAGGGGCACCAGCAGGGCTGGGTGGGCTGTGGGTGGACAGGAGGGGCAGTTGCATGGGCAGGGCTGCTCACCACCACAGTGCAGTGGGGTGGGGACAGCTGCAGCTTGGACCTGCATCCTGGGAGGGGAGGGGTCAGTGGAGCTCTTATTTTCCCTGATAAACCCAAAATCAAACACCAAAATTTATAGGTATTTAGAATTTATTTTATTATAGTGACTGAGGCACTGGTAGGCTTCCAAATTGCTTTAAAATTGTAAATATAGCAATAAAATATTGTGTGCAACTTTTACCTCTGTGTGTGTATGTAGTGGCATTTTAATCATGAAAAAATGTAGATTTGGGGTATTTTGACCAGAGAATTTGATGTTTTTATTAGAGAATTTGCTATTTTTAAACAAAGACGACCAGGATCCCTGTTAATAATACATAACTCAGTGGCAGTGAAACTCCCAGGCATATGTTCAGCTTGAAGCAATAGGAAAATGTAATAGTCTAATCCAGTGGTAATATGTTAGTAATACAATGGTATATTTAATATTAATACAACAGGTATTTGCAGTTTTTCAGATCTCTTGATCCTTTAAATGCATTTCTGAATGACTGTAGATATTATATAGATTGCAACATGCTGTCTCATAACTTTTGCAGCTAGGAGTGCATGGCACATTAACCTGTTTGTAGGAGCATGAGCATGGTGGTTCCTAGCTTTCCATCTTGAACTTGCAACTTGTTATCCAAGCACATTCTGCTGATAGTTCAAGTGTATTTGATAGGAACATAACTCATTTTCAGCTTGCCAACCACACTGGTCAAGTGATAGCCATGGTAGATTAGGTTCAAGTTCACTTTGTGTCAAATAAGACTTTGATAACTGGCTCTACATACATAGTGCACAAGGTTCTTGGTGGAATAATTTCACCCTAACATCCAGAAGAGTTGTCAAAGATATTAACAGATGATACTGCAACACAACATACTTTTCTACACAACTGTATAAATCTTTATCAACATCAGGCCTTGTTCCTAGACCTGCCAGTAGATGTGGAACACCTTCTATGCAGATTTCGTAGTGTGACCACTGAACTGGCTAGTGGTGTCACAACAAGTGACACTGTGGAATCCAACTAGAGATGCATGAACTGGCTCAGGAAACTCTGACACATGCCATGAACTAGATTGAATCTTATTGGATAGCTTCTCTTCATGCAAACCTTAAGCACAAGATTATGCCATAGAAGAAGGACCAGTATGTCTGTTATCACAGGAGAATACTAGAGAGGAATATCTCTGACAACTGCATGTTTGTCATATATGAGCATACTTATGTCCATCTCTTGGCACGAATGCGGTTGCAAAAAGTCACATGAGTTGGAGTGTGGTCTACTTTTCCATCAGCAAAACCACCAACGATGAGCACTCTTTCACTTTGGAAAGATTGGCGTGATTACTTAAGATGCTTCTCACTTACAAAATTCAGTTAGTTTTCTCCGTTTGCTGGTAAGTATATGAAACTACTTTGTGATGCGGCTAACAGAAGAGATCTGCTGCTAATGATTCTGCAGATTGGCGTAGTATTTTGACTCCTTAATATTCCTGTGCCTGCCTTTACAGGTGGTAATATGTATTGAGCAAAGACAATGTCAGTTTGGTCGCATGAGTTGGAGTAATTGGCAAACACTTGTTTCCAAAAGAATCAGCCAAATCTCCAAATGTTCACGCAGTTTTTGGCTTTCCTGTTCTCTGTACAGGAGCCATGCCGTCAATGATAATGATTTCTGATTTCTCAGACGTAGCATCTGGCAGAACAGTTACTGCTTTATCCCCAGTCAAGATCCGTGATAAGGTTGCTTTGTTGGCCACGTTGAGTGAGTTGTTGGGTTTAAGACGTGACGAAGGGTATTCTGACAGTCCAGGCTGTAGGAGAGAGTGCATATCATATCTTCTACCAGCTGCAACTAAACTTTCCTGGATCTCCTTTGCTTTCTGCACCTGTTTTATTTTGCTGTACTCTCCTATAGTTGACTTTACATCCTTAAAGTTTTTCAATTTTGATTTGGGTATGTTTGCATAAAGCTCTCGGTAGCATCTGCAGTAAGATGTTTTGGGATAATGGTGCTCAGGACTTCTCTTCTTTTGTTATGCGCATTCAAAAAGTCTAATGCAGTAACTTCTGGCACAACGTCTCCTGCAGAAGTGCATAACAGCTCATCGTTGGAAAACTTAAACAAGTGGAACCTTTTGAACTTTCCTAGTAGCAATGTGACATCATTGTAATCTCATTTGTCATGTCCTTTGTCTTTTGTTATATTTGAAAGATGGTGTTGTATTGGTCCCAAACATCTGATTTACCGTCTTGGTTAGGTGACCTCTTTCATCAAGCAAATAATCTGCTTGGTGTTGTCCTGTTGCATTTGTCAGTTGATGTTGCTGTTAGGGTTTCCCTTTCATCTTCTACCTCTATAACTTTCTTAACAGTGTCTCAGTATGTCTCTTGTAAGCATGTATGGTGATAGTTGAGGCCTTTGGAATGTTTTAGCACGGGATCGACACACCTTGATAGTCTGTCAAGAATACTGCCATAACAAGTATCAAATTCAGCAACTGTCCTACGGTGAACAAGCACCTCATTTATTCACACAATTCCAGCAGGTGTACTTGAGCTAATCGTTGACTGCGAACCTACTTCAAGGCATATGATGCATCTTTTAAGACATATGATACATCTTATAGATTCTGAGTCATACCTCCCATGCTTCACTGGACTCAGTGATGCTGTTGGCTCTGTTGTAATGTTTGCTTAAGGGTGAGTGTCTTGTCGACAGGCTCCATCAGAGCTTCTCATGTTGAGGTAATCTGAAACAACAGAGTTGATATAGCAATTTTGCAAACCTTTTGGGTATCATTCAATAACAAAACTGTAATTCATGTCAGCTATCTTGGGATCCAGTATGGTTGCCACAACAGAAATGTTACCACTGATATCCTCAATTCATACGGTGTTGGTTTAGTTATTGAAATTTAATTTTCTAACCCTAGTGGGGGTTGAAATATTGACCAAAATGTAGATTCACAGCAGCTGTCTTGGATACCAATATGGCAGCTACCCGCACTAATTGCCAGATTGGCAATATGACTTTTCTGACATGAGTAGACCACCTCAACCTGAAATGCACTCCTGCTGCTTGTGGCAATTAGCTGCCTATGGGGTGACACCTTTACCTTTCTATTTTACCCTACTAAGCAAGATGCATCCCACTACACCACAGAAAAAGCCAGTATTATCTAGGAGTTAGGTTCACAGACACTGAATATTTTCCATTCTGTTTCAGTTATAGCTCTGTATAATTGGAAAATACTGACTCTTTTATAAAGACTAAACCTCTTGGATATTATTTAAGCTGTCGTTTTCCCTTTATGCTTGCAAAATAATTGTAGATCAGTAAGGTTCTCTTCCTGTCTCTGTTTTTTTTAACCCAGGTCGAAGAGATTAGTTTTGTTTGCTTGTTTTTTATCTTGCTCTGTTCTCTTATGAGTTAAATTTGGGGTAGCCAACCTGCAGCATGGGTGCCACAAATGGCATACAGAAGGCTGGGGAGGGGGCAGGTAGCACAGTGGCAGATAAGGTAGGAAGCAGAAAATAGAGCAGTAAATGAGGCAGGGAATAAAGAGGAGGAAGCAGAAGGAACCAGAAAGCAGAGCAATTCAGGCAGGGGAAAGAGATCGGAGCGTCACTTGGGGAGACTATGGGACTAATGTATGACATGCCTGCCACCTCAGTTGGCCCCCACTGAGTTAAACTGTAATCATTTGTATGATTTTCCATCTCTTTCTCTCTTCCCCCATTTTCTCTATCTATTACTCCCTGAACTAACTGTCATATTTTAGCTGGGTATCATGAGTTACAAAAAAGTCCTACTTTCCTTATCCCTGATGTGATATTCCTGATTTTTAGCATTCATTTCTTCCCACAGCTCAGATGTTAAAGCTATTTTAAATGCTTTTTATAGTTTCACTGACCATTTGGCTTTTGTGACATCTCCTTTTCAAATAGTGTCAGGAAAATGTAAACCAGCATATTTAGCATTTTCTGTTTTCTGTGATGTATAAAACGGGATTTTCTTCATTTTGTTTGATAACAAAGCATCATGTAGAAATTCATTGTGCTGCTAAAAACTTTAAGGACTTGAATTGATGCATTTCAACTTAATACTGTAACTGTATTTGAAAGCATTGAAAAAACTTGCAACTTCCGAAAGAATCTTCGATCATTACTGGTAGTTCTTCCCTTAAAAGGTTTCCAGTTTTGTGTGTGTGCGTGCGTGAGAATCAGATTTCTTAAATAAAAAGCTAGATCAGATGTCAAGCTATTGATTTTATTACAGTTGACAACTTTTTATTCCAATTATTATAACAACGTTGTTTAATTTTATATTCATTTAACTTATTTCATATTAAAGAACTTTTTAAATACATTTGTTGCAGGTTCTGTTGTGCTTGAAGTCTCTTGCTTTTCTGAAGCTGAAAGAATTTATATGCTAATTAAAGATACAACTGTCAATGACAAGCAACTTCATGCTGTTGTGATACCTGAAGTGCTGGTAAGTTGTTTTTTGTTGGGTTTTATTTTTTTTTTTTCAAGTATGTTCTCTGTAAAATAAATACATTTTATGTTGTCTGAGAGAAATTATTAGAAAATACTAGATATTTGAAGTGGGAGGGAGGACAATAATGGATTTGCAATGAGCTTTCTTAAGTGTTATATTAGAAATGCACAAAGGGACATAAAATGCCAATTGTGACTGACTTCTGTTCTGTTAATATTGATTGTGAAGCGATGAACTTTGGTAGGAGAGAGAAAAATAAAGAGTTACAAAAGAGACAAGTAAATAAAGTATACTTTTCCTGTGATTCCTTTCCTCTAAAACCGTTTCATTGTTCCTAAAATTCAATAGGATACTCTGCCTTTTATTAGGAATTAGCTGTGACATTGCAACAGAATTGTTTTGGTGTTTAATTTTTTATCTTTTTAACTTAGTCTAGTTGACAGTAGAGCTTCATCATATAAATATTTTCATGTATAAACTCAAATTTAGTATAAATTATTAAAAGTAGTTATGTGTTTGCTTGCAGGTTTTTATCCACATTGCTCTCAGTGTCTATAACAACTCCAAATTTCTGGTCTCTAACTAGGGAGAAGCAGGCTTGCTTTACAATCTAAGCCATCTAGCCATCCATATCATGAGGTGGAAGTAGTTGAAGTAGAGTATTCTCCCATCCATCCTAGGTTAGCAGGTCTGAGAACAATTAGGCAAGATCTTTGGAATCTATGACCATAGGCAAAAAACGTTTGGGAACCAGCTTTGGCCAAACAGGGGCAGGAGAAACAGAGAGACTGAATCTTGCCTGACTTCTGCAGCAGTCAGAGGAGCAGGTGGAGAAGCAAATATTAGTTTTCCCCATAAGAACACAGGAAAGTAGGCCTGGAAGGGACTTCACAAGGTCATCTAGTCCCAAGGCAGGATCATCCCTGACCAAGGCGCCCCCCAGGCAAATGTCCAACCTGCTCTTGAAAACTTCCAGGGATGGACATTCCACAGTTTCTCTAGGTGTTCCATTCCAGTGCTTGACCACCTTCATAATCGGAAAGTTCCTCCTACTCTCCAGCCGAAATTTCCTCTGCTGCAGCTTAAAGCCATTGCTTCTAGTCCTGTCCCCTATGGCCACAGCGAGAAGCTCACTTCCATCCCCTCTGTAACTGTCCTTCAGGTATTTGAAGACAATTATCAAATCCAGACTAAATAACCCTAGTCCTCTCCTTTCCTCATAAGTCTTTCTTCTCAGACCTCTAATCATTTTTGTTGCTGTGTGCTAGACTCTTTCCAAACCCTCCACATGCTTCTTGAAATGTGGGCCCCAAAACTCGATACAGTACTCCCAGGTAAGGCCTCACTAGCGCTGAGTAGAGCTGAAGCAGCACTTCCCTTGATTTCCAGGTGACAATTCTGGTAATGCAACCCAGTACGCTGCTGGCTTTGAGCCATATATAACTATTCATTGAGCATGATGAGCCAAGCTTGTGTTTATACAATGTCTAACACAATCCTGTGACCACCCTTTTAGGTATTTTGCATGTCAATGAGGATCACTTACCAATATAAATTTCACTCCCTGTTGTCTTTATCTTTTTTGGAAATTTAAACCATGAATTTCCACATTTGTTTACAAAATTCCTCAAATTTGCTGTTTAAGCTAAAAGTTTAGTGTGTTGTATTGGATAAAAAACAAAAATTAAAATATTGTACAAACTCTCCAGAGAATTTGGTGAGAACAGGATTGTAATGGATTGTAATATTTTGTAAGGGAAACTATATATAAGCAGCATCTTGTAGATGGATTTTTTTTTCATTTTTGTTCTGGTCCTCAGTGTTTACCTTGTTGCCTTTATTAAAAATAGACCATTAACTAACACTAAATTTTGCTTTGTAAAAGAAATCAAGCAAACATCTTGCTTTTTCTTCATGTTCTCTTATCGATCCATGAGAAATGCAGAATACAGTAAGGCACTGAAGATTCCTCCAATATTTGGAGCCATTTAGCATGCTTACACACCACACTAGGTTACAAAACAAACCTTGCTGTTCATAAAATCATCAATGAATGTTTTTGCATGGAGGATGAAAGAAAAATATACTAAAATATGTTTCTTGGCATAGAAACATCATGCTCTGACAGCATTGAGCTTGGACATGAATTGTAGTAACTCTTTAACTGAATGTGCTCATCAGTGAAATCTGCCCATTCTGAAAAGAATCAGTATTTAAACCCTGCTGCTTACAGGCAGGTTGTTATACAGTTCGTGCCAGTTCTTGTCCGATCACAGTCCTTAAAATTCATATAAACTTATTTCTAGCCTCCCATCAAGACCCAGCATTGCTCACTAGGATAAAGAACGTGCAAATTACATTACACAAAGTCTATCACTCCTACCTAGGAGTCTGGATTGTCTTAGAAATAGGCTTCCTTCAGACAGTATACTGTCGCCAAATATATTTGCTTGCTCACTCACCCACCCATCTCCCAGAAAAATGCACTAAAAGCATCTGTCAGATAGTTATGCCTGATGTTAGCACTTGCCCTGTGGGATAGGGTGCTGTCATCAAGCGTAACTATTTTATATGCAGTATTCAACAGAATAGTACAAATAGTAATAAAAAACAAATCAGGCACAGAATAGAATCACAGCCTACTAATCTGGAAAAATTAAGCTTTTTTAGCTACTGCCAAAGCACATAAATCTCACCCTTCCTCATCTGAGAAAAGAGAAATAAATTTACTCCTTAAAAAACAAAAACCAAACAGCCAAAGCAAAACCACACTGCACACTTCACTTTTCAAGCACGGATAAAGAAGAAACATCCTATAGGAGTTGCATTCCATCCTGCAAAGTAACAAGAAATAAATACCGTGTCCCTACTGAGCTTTCATTAACTGATTCTAAAAAATCCTCCAAAATTGTACAGTTTTGTATTGCAATAATAAACTAAACATGTGCCTTTTAGAATCCAGTGAATCTGTTTCCTGCTGCTGGTTGCCATAACCTGTTTTCACAAAACTTTTTTCTTTTGAGTAGGGATTAAGTAATCTTTTAATTGAAGCTTCTTAAACACAGGCTGCTTAAGCATCCAAATGCAGTAGGATTGCTGAAAGCAGAATTCTTTCTATAGTGTTTTCACCTTTCTCTTGTTCAGCTGTTATCCCTGTAACTTCCTGTAACTCCTGGGCTAGAGACGGGCATTATGAACAGACTGGTTTAAATGATCAGAAACTGGTTTAAACTTGTAACAAAATAGACGTTCAGTGCACATAAATCAGTTTGAAAATGGCTGAAACCGGTTTGAGATAAACCTGGTTGAATGTAGTATCAGACTTAACTGATTTGGGTCAAACCAGTTTATGCAATGTCTGTCCCAGACCCCTTCCTGGTTTAACTTAAACCAGAGTCCCAGGGCTCTCTGCTCCACAGCAGGGCTGGCCCTGCCCCTCTGCTCCCTGGCTGGAGCTCTGGCAGAGAGGGCAGGCACATCAAAGTCTGCCTGACTTCCCTGTTTCTCTCCCCCCTGCCCTGCCCCCATCCCCAACCAGTCTCTACTCAAGCAGGGATTCCCCTCATCCCTCTCCCATAGCATGGACATGAACCGTAGCCAGCATGTGGTATGCTAGCTAATGCTGAGAGGTGTCTGTAAGGCAGACAAGACAATGTCCGCTTAGGGCTTTTTGGAGCTAATCAGCAGGTCAGCTGGTAATGTCCCTGTCCCTCTGCTCCTACCTTGGAAAAAAATCTGTTTAAGAAGAGTTTGAACTAATGAGAGAGCCTTTTCTTTTCTTGATGGGCTGATATAAGCTATCAACTCCCTGTGTAACTCCCTGCTGGCTCCCTCACTGGTCAAGGGCAGTGAGGGTGGTGGGGGAACCCCTCCCTAATCAGAGCCTCCTGCTGGAGCATGGCCACACACACCCCGTCAGCTCAGCATTATGGAAGGGAAGGGAGGGCTGCTTACCTGTGGGGCTGTGCCAGCAGAGATGGCCACTGTGTACAAAACCTCCCCACGCTGCCATGGAGCTGTGCCCAGAGCCATGCGGCCGGGCAGCACACAGCCATCCCCAGCACCATCCCAAGCCACGGCTGCTGCTGCCAGTTTTGTACGCAGCAGCCATCACTGCTGGCATAGCCCCGCAGGTAAGAAGCAGTGGCCACTGTGTGCCAAGGGTGACAGCCGCTGCGTACAAAACCTCCCTGCACTGCCGCTGCAGAGCCATGCTCGGAGCTGTGCAGCTGGCCACAGAGTGGTAGTGGCAGTGTGCTGGCACAACACAGGATGGTGGTGGGGATGGCTGCGTGCTGCCTGGCTGCCACCACACTGCCACTGCCACCCTGTGGCTAGCCATACAGATCTGGACATGGTTCCATGGCGGCTCAAGGAGGTTTTGTACACAGTGGCCATTTCTGCTGGCACCGCCCTGCAGGTAAGCAGCAGCAGCCACCATGTATGAGCCCCCCCTTCCCCCCGGCCACTGTCCCTTGCCGCAGCCGCTGCAGAGCCAGCCACGGACCTGTGCAGCTGGCCGCATGCCAGCCTCCCCCTCCCCTGGGCAGCCAGCCAGGCAGCATGCGTGCCCCGCATCGCTTACCCATAAAGCCCCCTGAAGAGGGGGGGCACCCCTGCCCTCAGCTCCTGGCCCTGCACATGGCTGCGGTGTGCCACCTGGGGCTGGTGGCACCACCCCTCTCCCTCAGCCCCCTTCTCCAGCCCTGCCCCACAGCCCCCAGGCTCCACTTACCGCTAGGATCTAGGGGCAAAGGGCATGGTTCCACACTGGCAGCACTTGCCCGCAAAGCCCTCCCAGCCAGCACACAGTTGCCTCCACCACCCTGCAGGGCGTAAGCTGCGGTGCAGTGGCGGCCGCTGCATGCAAACCCCACTTTCCACCCTCCGGCTGGGCAGCATGTATGTGGCCCACACATGGCGGTTGCCACCATGCTGCCATGCCCTGTGCCACTTGCTCACAAAACCATGCAGGTGGCCATGGGATGGTAGTACAGGGTGCAGTGGCAGAGTTGCGGTGGCGGCTTCCATGTGCAAACCCCGTCAGGCCGGCAAGTGTGTGGCCTGCAGAGTAGCACCCCTGGCCTTGCCTCCTGGCCCTGCTCCTGAGAGTGGGCACAGGGGATGGTCCCCCACTTCTTGATCTACCCCCCCTAGCACCTTCCTTTTTCCCCACCCTGCCCTGCCCCTTCCCCTCACATGTTTACCTGCTGGGGTGGGTGTCTGTGTGTGCCTCCATTTGCATGTCTGTGCCTGGATGTGTTGGGTCTGGGGGGCTGTTATGAGGAGCATGAAGAGGGCTGTTGAGGTTGTCGGGGGGAATGTGGGACAGCAGCAGCGCTGGGGTGGGGGCTGTGGGGAGCCTTTAATTTTTATCATGGATTTTGGGTTTTTAATCAAAGAATTTGCAATTTTTAGTCAGAAAACCAGGATCCCTGGTCATCACTGTGCACTACAGGAAAGCACAACATATATTAGACATTCATACAAATTTTGCAGCACACCAAGCATTATGAATTGTGCTGGAAAGGCAGGTGCCAGGTCTTCTGGTAGGGGAGGGAGAGGGGGCAGAGGGAGAGCTGCAAGTCCATCTGTCTGTGTCTGTCGTCCCCATGTGCGCTTTCCCCCTCCCTCCCCGCAATAGATGCACCCTCTTTCCTGGCAGCAATGACTCTTCTGCTGCTAGCGGGAGAAAGGAGGTGGGAGCAGTGTCTGTACCTGCACCACCTTCATTAAAAACAGTCTAACAGTCTCCAACCTAGCTTCAGTTCCTAGCGTGATCCTTCCAGTGCCAGAGGAGAACAGGCTGGGGAGTCGGATGTGAGGCAGGTTATAGTGTGTCATAAATCCTATATCTATACTGAGTCCATGAGTTTTTGTATCTAGGAGGTTGATGAACTTAATTTCATAGGCTCATCTGTGAAAAGTGTTTTGTGAATTCCCTTTGAGGTTCAGGACTTAGAGATTGCAGGAAGTGTGGTTTTCTTGTGAGAAATATGCCCCCACTGGTAATTGAGTGTTCTTGTCTTTAATAAATGTCCAGTGTGCATTCATTTTGGTGTGCAGTTGTTGTTTGGTCTCCTACATATTTTCCATTAGGGCATTTGGTGCACTGGATGAGAGATGTAACATTTCTGGAGCTCCAGGTGTAAGATCCAGGAATGGTGATGGTTCTGTTGTGGGATGTAGTAATTGTGGCAGTATTGGAGATATGTTGGCAGGTTTTGCATTTCTTGTCATGGCATGGTCTGGATCCATTCAGTGTTTTATCTGTAGGAAGTTGCTTCTGGTGATAAGGTTAGCAAGGTTCGGTGCTTGTTTGAATTTAGCTTTTTAGCATCTACTTTTCATTTCTGCTTCTTCATGCATTCAGGGACAACAATGATGGCATTTATCTTCACACCAGGCTAGAGGGAGGCTTGTTCAACATGGCAAAGTTTAGAATGAAAACCAAGATGAAAGAACCGGTTCTGAGAGATTTCCTATTTGCAGATGACATGGCTTTGGTTGCCCACATAAAATCTTCCCTGCAAAATCTATGGGCAGATTTTCTGAATCATGCAAGAGCTTTGGGATAGTAATTAGTCTTAAGAAGATTGTGAGATCAGGTACAAGGGGGTGAAGGAACCAATACCTGACATCTCTTGCTGTTGATGGTTTTTGCTACTTTGGTTTTACAATCAGCAGGAATCTAGACCTTCAGACTGAAGTGACTAACAGAATCAGAAACGTAGCTAAGAATTTCGATCTATTACAGAAATATGCATGAAATAACAGCAAATTATCAGCTTAGGTGAAGAAGTGAATCTATAGGACTTGTGTGTGGTCATCCCTGCTTTATGGTTCAGAAATGTGGACTTTACATGTTAGGCATATCAAGAGACTGAACAGTGTCCACATGAGATGTCTGCATAAGATCCTGAGAATAAAATGGGAAAATACAATGCCAAATACAGAGGTACTGGAGTGTGCAGGTCTGACACGCTTAGAAGCCATTAACAAGAAGAGGAGGTTATGTTAGATCAGCCATGTCAGGAGAATGGGAGAAGACCTTAACCCCAAGAATATTTTGTATAGTGATATTGTAAATGGCTCTAAAAAGCAGGGTCATCTTCTATGGCAGTACCATGATGTGTGGAAAAATGATGTGAAGTTGTTCACCATCAGGGTAGAAAGCTGGGAGGTGTGCACAAAATCCCATCCAATCTGGAGGGATCATCTGGCACTGGATGCAGTTCAGCATGAAGTGGCTTTGACTCAGAGGATGGAACCAAAGCAAGAAAGAAGAAAGCAGCATACTGTAAATTTGGACTCCAACTCGGGCAACATATGGATCTGTGAAACTTGTAACAAGCTGTGTCGCTCTCAAATTGGACTTGCCACCCGCAAACGAATTTATCAGGCATCTGACTACAACTCTTATGTGTGCACCGTGATCCAGAGGATTGATGGTTACCTACTACACAGCAAATCAGAATTTCATACAGACCTATTTATGACTTTTCTGTAAATAATACTTTTAATGGTTTTAATTGTACTTCACTGCCTGAATCAGTTTTAGACAAAAACAAATCAGTTTAAGAGGAATTGACACACTTTGTGCTATCATTTATTATTTAAAGCTGGGCAAATAATATAATTTCTTGGTTTGGGCGGTCAAACCAAAATATTTGAGAGAGAAATTTTGGTTTGACTTGAACTGAAATAGAAACGTCTCTGGTTGTTGGGGTTAGGTCCCCGTCCCCCTGCCCTGGGACGAGGAGGGTGGGGGGAGGTGCTAAGTTTCTTTTGTGTTCATATAAAATTTCATTTGGCGTAAAACAAAATGTTTGGTTTTGATGGTCTTGTCCTTATCTTTTGAATTTTGGTCGGTTTTGAAATGTAAAAATCCTATATTGAAACAAGTCAAAATGTTTCATTAAAAAATCCCCTCAAAATATGTTTTTGATTCAAAATGTAAAATTTACCTGAACTTTAAAATACTTTTTTAACATTGCATGTATTAGTGAATTTAATTTGGGGGGGGGGG